GCACACATAATATATATAAGTGACTACTACTTCATAAAAGAGAAACTTCTTCATGGATTTCGCTCTCCTATTTCTTCTTTGAGTTGCTGGTTTTATTTATCAAATATATTGCCAGACTGCAACATCAGCTTTCTTATATTATCACATCCATTTGAGGGCCAATCTTCATATGTATTTGACAACCCACCAAGACTGTTACTTTCCATGCATTCCTTTGCATCCACCATCCAGCTTGTATCTAAGGGAACCTTAATCTAAATGCAAATCAGGAAAACCATGTCATTAACCACAAGTAAAAGGAAAAGTAGGCTCCAGCCTTTTAGCCAAATGGTACAAGCTCCTGCCATCCACCAATTTCTATGCCATTGTCCTCTACATTACTGTGACACATGTATCATGCACAGTTCTATATGTCTGACATAGACGGTACATGTCAGACACAGTCAGAGAGAGTCTGCAGCATGCCTTGAAAAAAAATATAAACAGAAAAGAAAAAAACACATGTCTGACATGCATGCCGATACTTGGACACTCGTGCCCAATACTAGGACACTAGGTAGGGGTGGCAACGGGTTGGGGCCAGACCTGTACCAACCAGACCCGACCGAACCCAATTGGACCCGACCCAAAAATAAAAACATCTATATACTTAAATATATTTAAATATTGTGCTAATAATATACATGTATTATTTAAATATTATAATTAAAAAATGGGTGTGGTTTCCATAAAGTTGCAACCTTAAACAATCCAACTATGGTGCACCTTCAAATTTTATCATAATATATAATTTTGATGTAAAATGTTCTTAGGATTATCTCAAAATATTTTTTATATCTAATTATAAAATTTTAAATTCCAAAAATTGTTAAAATCAAGCAGATCTATAAACATATGAAAATCTTGAAAATGGACGGTGTAGATAATATGTTGTAAGATGCACTATTTCTAAGACTCAAAATCTTTTTATTTTTCATAGTCATACATCTCGATGTCGAGATGATCAATCACATGGTTCTTCAACATTAAAAAAACTTTTTCCGATGAATTTTTGAGGTGCTTTCGTAGTTCAACATTTTAAGGTTGTAACCTTATATAAACTTTTTCCTTAAAAAATATATAGTTCTACTTAATATATAATAATTAAATATTATTTAGACATTAACACTATTTGGGTCGAGTTTGCATGAATATGGACCTGGACCCAGATCCGAATAGATTTCGGGTCCAAATCTTGGACCCAAACCCAGACCCTAGTCGGGTTTGGTCATTGGGTGTTGGGTTGGGTCCGGTCGTCTGGTGTCCATTGCCACCCCTAACATGAGGTGCTCAAAATTTTGAGCACGAGAGTCTACAGTACCGGACACACTTGTCTATGGTTTAAACACACGTCTTACTTTTTATGTTAAATTTATTATTACAAAGTTATAGATTAATTTTATAAATAGAATATGTGAACAGATATGCATTGTGTGAGACTTGTATGGACCAACAGACACTTTATGAGGGCAGTGTTGGACAGAGTGTGTCCCTGTCCATGTCACTGAAACATAGCCTTCAAGGCCTCAACCAATCAGATCGTCCCAATCCAGTTGTCCATGCTTAAAAAGAACTACAACTTCTAACCTAATAAATCTTTTGCTGTCTAATTTTTGTTAGCCTTGCTCCCTGTTGCAAGGATATCCATTTGCTAAGGTGGGAGGAGTGAAGCTAGCACTTTCTTTTTTGAGAGAAAATGAAGTCACCTCTGTCATTCTGATGTTCCAAAGTATGCAAATCCAAGAACAATCCAGCCCAACTTAAATGAAATGTTATAGCTTCCTTATGGTCTAACATTCTTGCCAATACATTATCCCATTCTATTCTGGATTGTAATTGTAATAGCATCTAATATACCAAGAATATCAATGACCCAAACATTGCAATTGCTCAGGATACCTTCTTTTAACTTCTAGGGTCGATTTCTTAGTTCAAAAGACTGCAATTGCTCAGGATACCTTCGTTTAATTTCTAGGGTCCATTTCTTAGTTCAAAAGACACTAAAGACATGATCAAGTCTCAATTTGCCAGTGTTAGAGGAATAAACACAGGTGTCTCCTCTGCCAAGAAAATGAGCAAAGTTGTGTTTTGATGATCGAGGCAGACTACTGGAATTCGGGTATTTCTGGGATGGGGAGATGGAACCCTGATTAGGCATTATCCAAACCTTTGCAATTGCTCATCAGGGGAAGAGCACATGCCATGATATAATTATCAAGTGCATTTCCCCTGATGCACTTAATAATTATATAACACAAAGTACTCATGGATGCTGTCTAGTTTTCTCCAAGATGAATAACATGTTCAGACATGGTTTTAGTGTGCTAACCGCAACAATATAATGAATCTAAGGCCCATCGGAAAAAGGAAGTGCACCTTTGCATCTACCACAATTCAAAAGCTTTTGCAGTTGTTGAAAGAAGAAAAAGTTAGAAACCCCAAAGAGATCCTTCAAAGTAACAACTTCAAAAGTAGTACATGGATGCATCAAGATTAATCATTTCAATGACATTCAGTAATTAATGAATGAAGATACATAGGAAATAATCATTACCATTTCTGAAACTCTTACCAAAAGTTATTCATGATTGAAATCATCTTGTCTCGAATTTGATTTTTTTCAAATTATGACCCTACCACATATTCTTAAATCTTTTGGAAACTGGAATATCTATATTTCCTATATTTTAAAACAAGTTTACTCATTTTTCATTGATATACTTCATTTTAAAATTAGCCAAGAAGGGAAGTACATGAATTGGCAGCTCGAGTCATGATTGTCAAATGAACACATTATATTAATTCTCTAAGCAATTTGCACCCATTTCACCAATCACATCGCACTGATATTTGATACCATTCTTTTCTTCAGCAACAATTAGCAAAGTATCTCACAATCGATAGTAACCATGGTAGTACACATTCTAGTTTTGCTACAGATCCCAAGTCCCATAACTCATAAGGTAAATAAATGCTCGTAATAATGGCAAAAACTACTTCTCGGATCTAAATGTTTTAGTCTACGGGTATGACACATTCTTTTCATGGAGATTGCTAACCATTGCAGCATGCAATCAAGGACGGCCTTATGAAGTGCCACCTTCAAAGATAAAATCCGAATGGATGTATCCAAGTATATAATTGTATTCATCATCATCCTTCATATCCTCACATTACCCAAAAAGTTTCATCACGTACAACTGTAATCTGATGTTCAGGCAATGCAAGAGTTACTTTGAAATGTATGATATGTAAGAGTCAGTTAAGATCAACAAGTGATAAAAACTCCGACCCCTTGTTCTGCATCATCTACGATTAGAAATGTAGTTCCTGCAAAATGCACTTTGCACATGTCAAACTACATTCTAAATGAAAGAAGGTTTCGTCCACTCACAAAAAGTGTGGATACCCCTTTTGTGAGTGGATTTGAATGAACCAGGAGTTTCTAAATGGCTTCTCTCAGTAACGACATGGTGTCCTGTACCTAAAATACTGCTGAAACATGTTTTGGGGAAGGATTCCAAACTAGTGCGAAGGCTAGTTTAAAGAAAATTGTGGGAGTAGTCAGTTATGATAGTAACCAAGATTTAGAGAGCGGTTAACAAGGACTCATGAACCATATCCCATTAAAACTCTAAAGTTAACTTGTGTACATTCAAGAAGGATACTAGGATGGGGTGATCCTTGGGAATATCAAGGTAGTCGGTAGTCTACTCATTCTTACCAATTCAAAAAAATATGCAAAGCATAACAAATGAAATATTAGCAAGAAACGATCTCAAACTCAAAGGCATTTATCTTTCCTTGCATACAAAATCATGATGTTCACACTGATTATTTAACTTTCACCTCTATCCAAATCAATGTTATTTTGTAAGCTATAGTGTCTTAAGAAGCAATTAAATTCAATTATCCAAGCATATGTCTTCTTATTAATTTAAAAGGCTTTTCATAATCCAATGTGTACTTCATCATCATCAGCACCAGAGCTTTATCCAAACTATTTTAGGTCCGCTACACGAATTCAATTCCACCATTCTGCTCTATCAAGGGCCATACCCTCAGTAAAATCCATAGTTGTTGGGTGCGGATGCATTCCCAGGAGTGGTAGCTGGCTCGGGTCCATAGAATCGTGGATTGTTGGAAGCTCCATGTGGTTAGGATTGTTCGTACAATCCTATATCAAGGGAGCACAGTCCTTGTCACAGGGAAGCGCGATTCCATGAGGTAGGAATCACAATAGTAAGTTTTAAGGGATCGTGGATGATGCGTGGGTTCACAGTACCATTGCGTGCAAATCTGAATAAGTGCATGTGAATCAATGCCGAATAGAGAAAACATCATATACACTGCATTATATACTTGTGAATCGCGGTCCAAACCTGCTGGGAACAAGGATCGCAATATAAGGATCCGTGTTCCATCCAAGATCCCTAGCTGGAATCGTGGGATCGAGGTTCCGGAGCGGGTCCGTGACCTTGCCTACAAGGTTCCAGCAACTATGGTAAAATCCGCAGTGTACTTCAAGTAGGAGCAGGCATGTTCCCACTATTGATAATTAGGCGACCAAGTCTTTGTTAATAACGACGAACCATATCTCCAAATTCCAAACCTATAAGCAAACTGTTTGACATTTGGCCAAAAGATATGAGAATCAGGAACTAATACAGTGCCAAAATTGAATCAAATATCCCACCCACATTGAGAAATACAGAAAAATACCCAATACTCGAATGCTCAGAAAAATATCTCATACTACCAACCAGATAAAGAAAAATCAATGAGAAGAAGAAACAAGCAAAAGAAAAAAGATACTCAGATGCATATAGAAATGGGCCACTAATTTGGTATTGAATGCATTAGTTGATACAAGAAAGGCATGACAGAGAAAATGGTTTTCTATATATATAGACTGAGATATTGTGTAATAAACGTAGCATATGTATGGTATATGTACTGGCCTTGTGGACCGAAGATGGTGGCGACCCAGCAGTAGAGATTATCGCCTTTGGGGGCAGCAGCGCAACCAGGCGGTGGCTGGGAGTTGAAATCAGCCATCTCCTTTTGTATCCTCTTCCCTGAAGATGAAACCGATGTCGTCGATGGCCAGGAACGCACCCCACCACCAGCACTGCTTGAAGCAAATGGATTCTTACCCCCAATGTTCATGCTTCTTGCTTTCCCCTCTCTCTCTCTACCAAATAATTGTTCCTTGTGGGTTCATGCTTCTTGCTCGCTTCTCGCTCACTGTAGAGTGTAGAATGCAGACTGATGAGGTTCGTTCTCTCCCTCCAATTCAGTCCTTTAAAACGCTGAAATTCTCAGTTCTTTTCCAGCTTTGCCATTATCAAACAGGTGAAATTATTACCACCATGGTTTATCAAACACGTTTCCAACTTTCACATTACCAATTTTCACCCCAATCTAGGAAAATCACAGCACGGATAATTCACAAGGAGACAGAGCGGAAGTTATCAAAACACTGCCTTACACTCAGCCCTAGAGACTGGCGAGGAGCGACCCTTTTTTCCTTTAATCAAGGAAAATGGTTTGATAGGGCTACATCTCTATCAAAATAAGTTAAGCCTCCTCAAATAACACAAAAAAATGGTAATTCTAGTGTTGAAAAACCTTTAAATCGATCATCTTAGTTTGAACAGTATGGTTATACCAAAAATTTAAGATTTTAAATTTAAAAAACAGTATATATTGTGACAAATCATTTAGACCATCTATTTCGCCCTAAAGATAAGTGTTTTGAGACTTCAAGATCTTTTATTTTTTAGTTTCAAATTTTATTGGTATTGGAAATGAATTTTGGAGCCATTCTGAAGATTTTTTATGCCGAAAGTACTGAGAATTTGAGGTGAGGCTTTTTTTTTGTTTTCATAAAGCCTACGCCCATGGTTAGCAACACCAACCTGTTTGAACCGAACCGGCCAGTTAGTTTGGAACAGCTAGGGTTCCAAGTCCGTTGGCTCGGTTTTGTAGTACCAGTAGCCTAACCCATATCTCAGAAAAAAAATCGGGTCCAAAACTGGCTGGTTAGGGTCGAACCGCCCGTTTTTCAGCTAACTGGACCGGTTCGAAGATATAACGACGTTTTCTAAGAAAATAGCGGTTGTGTATAAATAACAGCGTTGTCTTTTAAATAGGGACTGTTATACGTAGCTGGAAAACCATGAATCCAATTTTTCACCTTTTTTTATTCGGTTTGAGGCCATTTTTTGGTTTTTTTTGTGTTTTAATGGTTTAAATCACTATATAATGAATATAAAACAAGTAATTTGGATTTAAACATTGAAAAAAGATGAGTTTCTTGAATTCAAATGGTAGATTTTTTAAGTTTTTGAAAATTTCCCCCATAATTTCAATAATCTCCTCAATACGTAATGATTCTTGAACAAAATTGAGGGCTTGATTTTTGTTCGCAGTATTTACTAAATTAAAGTCCTAATTTGTTCAGAAAATGAAAAATTAAGGGTTTCTTTTTGCCCAAACAGCTGCTGCTCAGAGAACCTGTGTTTGACCCCCAAAGCGCTGATTTTTTATCCATTTATTGATTGTTTTTTATCAAATTGAGTTGTGGATTTCGATCATTGAGGCTTCATATTTCAAATAAAACTGGTCTGTTTATTTATGATTGAGTAAATTTGTTTATATGAATTTTTTCGTTGCATCATATCATGAAAAGTTCATAGATCTAAAATTTCCATCTTTTTTTCAATTAAATTAAAAATATCGAATAGTTTTTTATGACATTTGGTGCGTTTGAAAGATGATCAAGGCCTTTACAATGCATGTATGTTTATTTGTTCGATTATCCAAACATTGAGGGTCGTTTCTTGCTCGAAATGTTGCTTGATTTTTTGGGTTTTTGAAAAGTCGATTTTTCGAAAAAAGATATTTTTGTTTAATGAAATTATGTGTTTTTGATGCATATGGGAAGTGTTTTTCTATTTTGCTTAGTAAAATTATTTTTAATAGAATTGTGATTTTTAATCAAATTTTGTTTTTTAATGAATATGGGAAGTGTTTTTCTATTTTGCTTGATAAAATTATTTTTAATAGAATTATAATTTTTTAATAAAATTACTTTTTTTATGAACATGAAAAGTGTTTTTCTATTTTGCTTAATAAAATTATTCTTTTTAATAAAATTATTTTTGTTGATGAAATTGATTCTTCATTTTGATAAGGGCATGATAATGTCGCTCGATTTTTTTTAATTATATTTTTTTTAAGTACATGATTTGCAATGATGGAAATAGGACATTTTGTTTTTTTAAGTGCATGCAAAAATTTTGGTTGCCTTATGTTCAATGAAACACTACACCATCGTCTTGTATGTGCTTGGTTTGTCTCTTTCTTTTTTTTTTTTTCCATTTTCTATCAAGATTTTTGGAATTTTATGGAAAGAGCCTTTAAAAGATCAACCGATTTTTAAATCGGTCACTAGCCGATCTCGATCTGGCACAATTCCAGAGAGAGAGAGAGAGAGAGAGAGAGAGAGAGAGAGAGAGAGAGAGAGAGAGAGAGAGAGAGAGAGAGAGAGAGAGAGAGAGAGAGAGAGAGAGAGAGTAGAGAGTAGAGAGAGAGAGAGTAGAGTAGAGTAACGTAGAACGTAAGTAAGAGTAAGATAAGTA